AATGAGAAAACTTCCTTAGTTTGAAGAAAGATAGTGAAACTATAACCGGAATCACCAGAGTGGTAGAAGCAGTAGAGAAGAACGGAAGAAGATGGAAGGCTGAAAGTGCTTAGCACTTGTTCAAGGATTGCAAAGCAAAGCCCTGGTTTTGCACGAAATGCAAGGCAAGACATAAGAAGAAGTTTTGCGAACTTTTCAACAGAAGAAAGGCATTTGACCGACGGAGTACTAATCCAAGACATTCTCGAAGCGGTGGCAGCTTCAGAAGGAAGCGAAAAACAGAGAAAACAAAATTCTCAGCCCATCTACATGTTCGAAACGTAGTGAAGATCGCAAATGCCACAATATCAACTCTTCACGTGTATATCTGGAAGCGAAAGTAAACGGTCACACTCAATTTGTGCTTGATACAGGATCGATATCACGCTGCTGAACGAGTAAGTCTGGAAAATATGGGCGCTTCAAACTAGAGAGACGAACATTTCTGTTAAGGACGCCATTGTGAACTCTATGAAGATTTATGGCCGGCTGTGGTGCAAGTTTGAGCTGACAGGATCTATTGATGAAGGTTATGCGTATGCTACTCCTCATCATTTTTTGTTAAGGATCGACCGGATACGGAGAATAAAGAGACGACCTATCACTTGAAAACATGTTTGCAAGTGTGTAGGCCGACCAAAATAATGTTATCGCACAGAAGTTGCAAAATGCTTATCCAGAAGTATGCAAAGATGGTATGGGATTATGCACCAAGGAGAAGGCAGATATGCAGGTCGGAAGTCTAGTGTGCAAGGCTCTAGTGTTCAGTACTAGCAGATCAGACCTATTCTGCCTTTTGAACTGTCGAAAAAAAACTGGACAGACTTCTGGAAATGAACGTTATAACGCCAATAATGGGAATAGCATAGCGCATGGGCAGCTCCCATAGTATGTGTGAGGAAGGCAAATGAAAATTAAGTGTATGTAAAGACTTTTCAACTGGACTCAACGGATCATTTGAATCGTACGATTACTCTTCGCCGCTACCAGAGGACATTTTGGCGTCTCTCAACGGAGAAACAGTGTTCTCGCAGATTGATC